ATAATTATCATTTCCATTTATCTTTCGCATGTCATTAATATAATATAATCATAGATGACATAGATTAACATTTAAAACAAAATTATTTTTCATTAAAAATATCCATCGAAAATTATTACATAATACACTAACTTTATTAATAATCATAATTTTCATAGTTGGTGTTGTTTTATCGCAAACATGATCTTAAAAAATGTAAGTTCTATTTTTACCAATTATAAGGTTTTTAATGAGATCTCCAAAAGCAACGATATCAAATTATCTAGTTCATTGCAAGTCAAACAGTTTGTTTATTATGTTTAACAACATTAAAACCACGACAATGACAACTTAGACTTGAACTCATGTGTTTATGAAGACAAAACAAAGCACAAAAAACAACAATGACAAAAAGACTTAATTTAATTTACTCTGAAGATAAGGAAGATGATGATGCAGACTGCACAGATAATAATTTGGTTTGTTAATTCAAACAATATAAGACTAACAAACACTGCGTTTACTACACTAAAATATTATAATAAAAATTAATTAAAAAATTATGTATATTTGGTTATATGTCTTACGATTATAAGCTGTTTCCCGTTTTCTTTCAAATAAATTCTGTAATAACTCAGCTTTTCATTGTAATATAAATAGACTTTAACAGCCTTCTTATAAACACCTAGAAAAAATGCTCATGCAAAATGAAAATGATGTTTTTTTCTTTTTGTTTAAATAAAAAAAATAAAATCAAATAACATTTCAAAAACATTTTACCATTATTCACCAAAAATTATCAAAAGCGGTTTTTTTTGAAGCGGTTTAGTTTATAATTAATTATAAATTGAAATGTATATTGATTGGTAAATATAAATATTCAGTAATAATACAACTAATATGTCAAGTATTTAATGAACAGTTTCGATAATACAGATGTTGTTATTTAATACATAATTATATTGTTTATTCATTTTGTTTATAAACCATTTTTGTGTCACCACGTGAAGGGTTAGATTTTTTCTTTGTTTTTTCTTAAAAAAATAAACGACTTTCATAAAACATATACAAAAGACTGAGTAATGATTTTTCAAATTAAAAATCATTATAAATTAACCGAGGAATACACTTTATACATCAGAATGTAATTATATTGTTAAGTGATTATTTGGTAATTATAATTATGAGTATGATTTTTTATTATTAATTTTTAATCTTTACTAATAATACAATATTAAGCAAAACTATATTGTTATAATGTGTTCATATTTTATCAAAGATATGTAGTGTCCAAAAAATTTATTTTATTAAATTAATGTAACGGGTAAATAAATAACATTTATTGACAAATTCTTTATATGATATGATTGATATAGCTGCCTTAAACGCGTATAAAACGTACTCAATTTCCACCGTTGCAAACGAGTGGATTTTTTGAACAATCTTTCTGGTGTTTTAATGAAAATGAAACGATTTTTCTATTTTGTTTGTTTTTTTATAAAGCTGGAACTGTTTATTTCATTCAATACGTGCTTTTTTATTGAACCTCGAAAAAATTATCGTGAAATAAAATAAAAATAGGGGTCATTATACCATTTTTTTCTTTTTTACTTATGGATAAGTTTTTAAAAACTTGTGTTATAACAACATCGTGATGTCGTTACTCAACACCATAAACAACCGTTGGTAAAGTATATGCATGAGTATTATGGTAATAATTGTGTTATAATGGTGTTTGTTGATAATTCTATCAAATTGTAAATTTATTATTACAAAACTATAATTTATTAAATTTCCATTTTTATAAATAATTTTTTTTATTATATAATATAGTTCAAAATATTTTTTTATTATTTTTTAAATAATTTTTTATTATTTGTTTTTTTGTTTATAATTTCTATTATCCCTTTATTTTTAATTTAAATTATTTGTTTGTTGCCCAAAAATGCATAATTCAAAAATGAATAAACAGTGGCTGCAAAATAAACATTTGATTACAGTATACAATAACGTTTATATGAAAATAATAATATCGAATCAATTTTGCCTTTTGTTTTTGTTTGAAAATAAAAAAAAATAAAAAAATAAATAATAAATTCATATCTTGCTTCTTTGACAGTGGCACGACTTGAAACTCAACGGGTGACCATAAAACTTCATGGTGATCAAAGTTTATACAAACGCGACTATATTGACTGTTTAAGTCATTTTCGAGAATTTTTCTCTATTTTGTGGTTTTGATATTTTTGAAAATGTATTTTAGATATTTTTTTATATTTTACATTTTTTTCTCTAAGATTTTTTTTTCAAAGTCGGAACCATGCCTCTGAAAAAATCAATTATTTGCACTAAAATATTTTTTTTGGCAAATTAAAATAAAACTCATCTCATAGTTACTCCCTTTTATAGAACAATCGTAAAAACGTCTAGTATTGAAACTATTAACAACTGGTTTATTATAATAGTATACACATAATATTATTAATTATACATTTTTATTATAGCAATATAATAATATTAACTATATATCAACTAATGTTTTATTTACTACAATGAATTTATGTATCATATAATGTAATAAATAATATATTAAGAAATAGTACATTTTGTCAAAACATTCAAATAACATTTTTAAAAACAAATATTTACATTTTTAAAAACTATATAAAAAAATTAATTACAACTAAATATTAAGAGTAAAATAAAGTTACAAATAAACCCAAATAACAATTAAACTATTAATAAATTATTATTAATCTATAAATTAATAATTTAAATTCGTTTTGAACA